GCTAAAGAACAATTCCTTCTTTTACCATTGTGGTTGTGATCCTAACAGGTTTGTAATCAATAAACAGGCTTAAGAGTGGTCATTTTATGCTCCCGTTCTATGCATCTGACTCCTTCCTCTCTCACGGCAGGAAAAGGTTTTATATAGATATAGATATAGATAAATAGATAGATAAATAGATAGATAAATAGATAGATAAATAGATAAATAAAAAAATAAAAAATATAAAAAAATATAAAGGAATAGCTTTACTAGGACCAGTCAAAATAATACAAAAAAGTGTGCAAGTTTTCAAGATCTTTAGTATAACACCTCAAGCAAGATAGAAGGGCAAGAGATTGAGCAATTGAGAATTTTTAAATTTCTAGATGTGGTCCTTCAAGACTCAGAGTCATGAAACGCAAATATCGATTCTGTGGTCCTGTGGGCTCAAAGGAGTTGAGCTTTACTCCAGGTCTTTTCAGTATTTTTCACATAAAAGGGAGGGAATCTATCTCCACAGCTCTAAAACTATTTGCAGTCAAATCATTGGTTCATTTTCTTTATGGATCCCTATACACCCTTCCCAAACTACAGTATAGGCTGATGGAAATAGTACAAACTAAGTTGATCAGAGCAGGGTTTCAAGCTCTAAAATGCATAGCTAAGATAATTCTGAGGCTAGAGGCTGGCCGGATGAGGATTGAGGAAACAGCCTGCTTATTAACTTTCAATTACTGGCTTAAATGTCATTATTTCCCAGTAGGGTTGATCCCATTTCTTATATTCAATAAATTCCAATCCTCTTGGGCTCCAACAATTGTTAGAAAACTGTAATCATGTGGCCTCCCTCTCGATTTTCTACATTCTGTCATATTTACTCAAGCTAAGAGAGTTATCAAAGGCACTTTGATATTGAATATGATAATGAGAGACCTCATTCCAAAATATATCCAAGTACACTTTGATCAACCTAAGTGAAAACCAGCTAATTATATCCACTTACTGAACTTCCCATTTCAACCAAGATTTTTCTTCAGATCCAGATCCAGTAGCTTGTCTTTATATGGGAGATTTAATAAGGTTCTCATAGCTAGTCAAACCTGGTCTTCTCGAGGTGGATTCAACTGATGGTTCAACTGAATCTACCTCCAGATGCTGTTACATTGTACTTTCTATAATGATACTGAAATATTCTTATCATATAAGAATATCAAAATCTTCTTATCATATAAGAAACGCTTTATTACACATACTATGGCAAGATTTTGGTGTGTGTATACAACTGACTTCTGGTCTACATAAGTAACATCTTCACATTTACTCCATCAGTATTTGGTCATGCATGAATGAACTATTAACTGTAACTTATCTCTGAGTTTTTAGATCATTAGATTTTATATTGCAATTTCTTTTTATATTGTTAATTTACTAATTTACTGCAGACTGTGGATCTAGTTTTAGAATTCACTTATAATTAATTGGGGGGGAGTTTCTTGTCTAATCTTAAGTCTTTTAGTTCCTAATCTTCATGTCAACAGTGCAGTTCTGCATTGTTTTACATACAGGTAGTCCTCACTTAATGACCATTCTTTAGTGCCCATTCAAAGTTACAGTGGCACTGAACAAAGAGACTTACAACCGGTCCTTGCACTTACAACCATCACAGAACCCTTGTGGTCATGAGATTGCGATCCGGGCACTCGGCAATCAGCTTGCACTGATGATGGTTGCAGCGTCCCAGGGTCATGTGATCACCATTTGCAACCTTCCCAGCTGGCTTCCGGCAAGCAAAATCAATGGGGAACTGCATGATTTACTTAACGACTGCCTCAAAAAAGGTTGTAAAATTGGGTGCAACTCACTTAACAACAGACCCACTTAATGATGAATTTTCCAGTCCCTATTGTGGTCGTTAAGTGAGGACTACCTATACTTAAAAACATTACATTTACATGGCTGGATTTTGTTGTACTTTGTTTTAAGCTGGTCCCCTTTACAAACTGAAATAAAATACATCCTCTAATATTGGTTAAAGCTACTTCCCACTCCCTCCCATGAGTCTGGCCCCTCTGATTTTAACTGATGATTTTGTTTCATCCAGGATTAAGACATTGTATGAGCATTTGAAATGCTAGTTTTTTACCTGGATAAATTCCAGTGGTGGAATAGAAGCATGCCACAGACCTGAAAAGGCAATTAGATCTGGCTGCCCTACCTCAAAATTTGTTCCTTCGTACTCACTCCCCCTTTTCTAAGCTGGCAAGAAATCTAACCTAAATAATAGCTCCCAAGTTCAGAAGGGTATTAAATCTCTGCCATGGCTGGCCGGGGAATTCTGGGAGTTGAAGTCCACACATCTTCAAGTTGCCAAGTTTGAGAAACACTGATTTAAACAAAGACTCTGCCACTGAGGTGAAGGAATTATTGAAACATTAAGCCATGCTTTGCTATATTACTCTTATTGTAAAGATACCTAGTTACAGCTAATAACCTGCCATCTAGTCAGCTGAATTTATTTTATTTCCAGTTATTAACACCTGATTAATGTGATTTTATTTCTCTGAATATGGTTAAGCTTTGCTTTATTACTGTATTTGTCAAATAGAATTCTGATCACATCAGTTTTGTAATTATTGGTTAACAATTCTTGTCAGCAAAATGTTCTCCTCCTCCTCCTCTTTTGGTCAATGGTCATTAAAAAAGCGATTGCATTGTATTGTATCTTATTGTAAGAATAAGGGAGTTCAGGAATTGTGCCACATGGTTCAGCTGTGAGGCATGCGTTTCAAGGTCGGCCATAACATGAAGATCCAGCATTTCCCCAAAAAGATAACACCCGACCTTTCCAGTTCTCAGAACAATGAAGCTGTGAAGTTAACCACAGATCACTTAGCTGAACCCAGGATCTCTCTAGATAATAAGTTATAAAACTTGTGGAGTCTTCTTTTTTCCTTTTGAAAGTTTCCTTCATTTCCAGGCTTCAATATATTATATTACCAATATCACCAACTTGAGTTATTAACTCAGTCTTCTAGATGCATTATATACAATTAACAGAGTTGGATACAGACATTTGAAATATTTTAGAACTGAAATGGGGATCCAAGACATTTACAGGTGTTTCTGAAATCGTCACCAGCTTGGTGGTGGTGGTTGTTGTTATTAATATATAATTATTAATATATAATAATAATTATTAATATATAATTAATATAATAATAATAATAAATCCAGTGATAAAAGGGAAAAAGTGCTACCCCTTATTCTTTAAATTGTTCAATTATGCGTCCTAATCCAATATCTTGTATAGTTTTTTGCAGGTTTGACTGGAGCCTTGTTCATTATATTTGGGCTCATCGGTGCCTTCTTCCTTGGACTATATGTAGATAAGACAAAGAAATTTACAGAAGCTACCAAGTTCAGTTTTATTCTAAGTGCCTTGACTTGCATTGGATTTTCAGTGGTAAATATATTTTGAATGAAATAATGCTTCTCTGTTGCCTTTCTGGAGAGATAATGAACTTCTGAACTAAATAAATCCTGTCCTCTAAGAAATAGTTAACCACTAATAATGTGATTATTAACAGAAGTGTGTTTTGCATGTAATCGTAGATGTTTAAGTAAGGACTGATTAACATTTAATCCCTCCAGTGCCAAGCAATATAATAAAGCAGTGTTCCTCAACCTTGGCAAGTTGAAGATGTGTGGATTTCAACTCCTGAATTCCCCAGTCAGCATGCTGGCTGGGAAATTCTGGGAGCTGAAGTCTACCCATCTTCAAGCTGCCAAGGTTGAGGAACATTGTAATAAAGGCTGTAATATTTTCACTTTCATTTTGGCGCTAAAACAGATCAGAGCAATATTTGAAGATAGAATGAGTAGAGTCATCACACTTCTTTGATCCTAAGCTTTCTTACTGAAGTCCTAGGAAGATAAAATGGAATGAATAGAAATCTGGAATAGAGAAATAAAAATTGAACACTTGTCAGCATTTCATACGATCATCAACTCATTCCATATTGTTTGACAAACTGTTATGTAGTATAAATTCTTGTGAATGTATTAGTGGTTAAAATAATGCCAAGACATATTTTCTGGAGTTTTTAACCAATATACTTGTTACTCTTGCTTTGAAAACTATTATTTCTTTAGATCAGAATGCTTTTGGCATGTTCCAAAAACATTGGGTCTTCAGTTCCCATCATTCCTTGTTGAGAGTTTGAGTCTTAACACATTCAGAGTATTAGGTTGATGAAGGCTGCTCCAAATTTTACCTTTGAAGAACTGTTGCTTTTGCTACAATATCTCTGTTTACTAGAACTGTGAACAAGGGACATAAACATTTGCCTGGTGACCAAGGGCTGAAGAACTTTTAAAAATCATTTAATCCCACATGATACAAACACAGCACCAAGCAAATTTAAAATTAACTTGTAGTTTTAATCTTGCTGTCCTCATATCTCCTAAATCTCTTTTCATATTAGTTTATCTAAAGAGAGAGCCAGTTTGATGTAGTGGTTAAGGCACCGGGCTAGAAACCAGGAGACCGTACGTTCTAGTCCCATCTTAGGCATGAAGCCAGCTGGGTGACCTTGGGCCAGTCCCTCTCAGTCCTAGGAAGCAGACAAGGGCAAACCACTTTCAAAAATACTGCCAAGAAAACTTCATGGACTTGTTGATTCCAGGAGTTGGCACTGACTCAAAGGCACCAAAAATAAAATAAAAAATTATCTAAAGAACTCAATCTAAATGAATGCAGCAGCATGAGAGAGAAACTGGAGAGCAGGATTACCTCTGTCATGTTGAGATAATCTAAATGCATAGCATGCTCTGGGCGGGAGGGATACCTGCTGGACGTAGTGCTATAGAGAGACTTTCCCCTTTACTCATTGTATTTTCTCCTTCTGCAGGTATGTCAGATGAGAAACCAGCAATATGCTGTGGCAATATTCAGCTGTCTTTTTGGGTTATTTGGATTTTCTATCTATCCCGTCGCTATGGAACTAAATGTTGAATGCTCTTATCCTGTAGGAGAAGGAACATCATCAGGGATCATTTTTGTGATCAGGTAGATACAGATTCATTCAAGAAATGGAGCCCTTTGATCTTCTCTAGACAATAACTGGATTCATTTATTTCACTGGGCTTTAGGATGGTTGGTTTGGTTTTGATTTAGTGTGATGTTGATTCCAACCATTGTGGTTAGCAAATCATAGTTTATGGCCCACCATCACACTAGACCTTTGGGCTCATTCAACAAAGAATGGCTTAAGGCACTTTGGAAAACTATTTAATATGTCATTTCCAGGAGCAATAACTGATGGGTTCTTTTAGCCTTTCCAGCTAGTAGAAGTCACAATTGCCCAAATCCTAGGAAATCATTAATAAATATAAATAGCTTGTTGTTTTTCTTCCACACTTTGGAAGTGAAGTTGAACAAAATGATTCCTAAAGAAAGGATTTGTGCACCAAAGTGGAAAACACCCCTGGGCATTGCACAATAGATGCAATTAAATGTTTCCCAGGATGGTCCAGCTCTTTCATCTTTGCCTTTCTGTGAGCTCTTGTTTCTCATCCCTCTGCTACAATGTAAATCAGAACGCATAAGCTGTGCTGCAAAACAGGTACTTATTCAAGTCACACAAGGCTGGAGAAAAGAGAAGTCTCTGTTCAGTCAAGTAGAAAAGACATTGCAGAGACGGACAGCGCAAGAATCCTTATTAGGAAAGCGCTCCGATTCTTTGATCATTGTAGTTGCTGTGTGTGTGTGTTTTGGACTTCTTTTAATTACAGGGTAACCAGTTCCAGTAGTAATATACCTATAGACATAACAATATTCTAGTAGCTTAAGCAAAGCTGTCTTTCTCAAGCAATTTCACAAAACTCTTCCTCTGCTCCATAAAGATGAAAAAGGACAGTTATCTTCAGGTTCCTGGTAAAGAAGGGAGCAGGAAGATTTCCTACTACTTCTCCTTCCAGGATGGGAAGAAATCTGACATGTTCAGTCCATTCTTGTTTGGCTGTGGTAGCTAGGAATTTTGGAGGATGCACTCTTAATGCATCAGAAGATGCCCACTTAGAAAATGCTAGTTTAGATCCTACAGTAAATCAATGGATGGGGTACCCTGAAGGTCTACTTTAAGCCCAAAAGCAAATCTTAATTGTTATAGATGAAAATGTCTCTTCAAAAGAGCCATATTTTAGATGTCATCACCCGATGGGTGTCAATTTTGTTTCAACAGCCAGATCCTAGGAGTTCTCTTCATACTTCTGTTCCAAAGCTTGGCTGTGGAAAAAAAGAATGCCCCATTCTCTACATGTGCTTCATCTCTAGGTCCACCAATGGATTGGACAAGTAAGTATTTTCCTTCTGTTTGATTTGTTGGCACTTGAATGGTTTGATAAAGTCACTGGCAGATTCTTCTACTAGCATCAGGGTTGCATAAAGTTGAATGAAATCCTAGAGTTGCCTATGGGCCATTAGCCATTTTTTAGTCTATTGACTTTTATTTAGGGGTAGATGAAGTAGCCAGGACTTTACCTGGAAGATGCCTATGTTGGTTTTTTGCCCAAACTCTGACTGCTATTTGCCTTGTAGTATGGGGGTGGTGGGGGTTGTCAGGTTTTTAAAGGTTCAGTCCCAGAAGAAATGTGATAGCGTTAGCTGCTGTTTTGTTAAAGCTGATTTTCAAGGCTTTGGTGTTTCTTAGAATTTAATTGTTAGATTTGTATCCTTTCATTCAGGAGGTCATGATGGCATATATAACACTCCCTTACCTCATTTCTCCCTACAGCAACAAACTTGTGATAGATTAGACTGGCCCAACGTCTCCCAGTACATTTCTGTGGTGGAGGATGCCAGTCTGGTACTTTAACTTACACCATCCTCACTTGTTGTTTTTTAGTAAAAAAAAAAAAAGTACTATATATAGATGTTTGTAAACTGCTTACAGCCACAGAATGTCAGGACATAGAGTCAATACACAGAGTCTTAAATAAATGAAGCAACCATTCACCAATGACCCAAAAGCAAAAATGTTGCTCTTGGACACAGCACCTGTTTTATTAGGTCTTTCTCATGTCTTTCTAGAATTTGATTTAAGGAGAGCTACATAATTAGCAGCACTGTATCTTATAGCTCTTGTAGGACTGTACCACATGAGGCCAGGGGAGATGACTGCAGCAAGCTTAGATGATGCTAGTCACAAGCTATATGCATGAGGCAACCCTAATATTTCTGCATGGTTTATAATCAAACAAGGAATTAGATCCATCTCCTCTTGGGAGTCTACTCCACCATGTTGTCCTCCATCACCACAAATGCAGTATCTTTTATTTATGTTGTAATATAAGGCAAATGTAATAATAGGGAAGAATCAAGCATGCAATCATTCACTTGCAGTTTGAAAGCAGTCAATTCAGTCCAGCTCCCTGATATTGCCATTTATTTCTTAACCTTGATGGGATAATTCTAGCTTAAGGGTAGCTGAGCATCTGATCTGAAGGCAGAAGGCTCCAGGTTCAATCATTGGCATCTACCAGTTGAAAGGACCCAGGAGCTGTTGATGGGAAAAATTTAGCCAGTGACTGCCAAAGTAAGCAATACTAGGCTAAATCAGAGGTGGGCAAACCTTCTGAGGGGCAGAGACCACAGCTAACATTTTTGCAGGATAAGATGATAAATTGGATGGGACAAGGGGCAGCGGGGACAGGGCTGTGTCATAATGCATCATGAAGGGAGGGGTTTTTTTTTCCTATGGGTTGGGGGAGATGCCATTTTTAAAATTATACCATCCTCATTTACAATTTACACTACAATTTTCATCATTTCTTACCTTAAAATGGCAGGAAACTATGCTTTTAACTTTTGGCAACTGTGGATAAAAGGGGGCTCCAGGAGCCCATGCAACTTCATAGAATGTCATATTGCTCCTCTCTGGCCTGTAAGATTGACCTAATATAACATGGTTGTGTATACTCACATGTCAGTGCATTCAAAAGATCTAGATGAAAGTGTAATAGCTTCACCTGAAAAGACCTTCAAACTAAATTCTGATAAAAGTTTTAGGGGAGTCTTAGGGAGACAGGTAATCCTGAGCTTGCTGTCTACACAGAAATGAATTCCTAGAGCAACTCAGCAAAACAATAAAAAGGGGGCTATTCTATCCACCTCTTTCTCCATTTACTGTTCACCCCCCTCCGCTTTTGGGGCAGTGGTTCTAATCCAATCAGACCACCAAAGTTTTGAGGGCTTTTTAAACTTATTTTTGTTTTATTGCAGTCATTAATCAGAAAAGGTTATTCTCCCCCCCCCAAACAAAAAACATCAGGAAGGGGCAGTCACCCAGTGTGGCCTTTTCAGTCTTTGGGTGTCCAGCAAAACTGATTGCTCTTCATTTGACAGGATTCTTCTTGACTATCTTGCCAGTTCATTAGTGTGTTTAGCCCCAGGATAGTGGCATAATGGGTCAGCTGTACTTTTTTCATTAATTTATTTTATAAAACAAAATTCTATGGTTGCATGACACACCCACTGAAATTTATTTAAGAAGAATTTTTTAGTATTCTGGATTTGTAATATGCTATCCAGCCAACGTGATAGCTACAGAATGATGGCAGTTCTTGTCCAATATATCATGGATAGTATCAGGACAGAAAAAATATTTAGAGTTTAGGTACTTCTTAACAAACTGCATAGCTCCCTTTCATATTATTGTTTAGATTATCTGTGGGCAATCATCCAGGTCTGCCCCCCCCCAAAATCCCTTTTGAAGGTCCCAGCAGCTCCTTTGATCAAGCTATTTAAATTTGATCATATAAATCTGTAATCTGGTATCCTATCATTCTGAGGTGGAAGTACAGGTAGTCCCCAGGTTAAGAATGCCCTGCTTAAGGATGAGCCATAGTTAAGAATGAAGCCTACTGTAGCAAAATTTGAGTTAAATATATAGTGATTCAAGTTAAATACACAATGGTTTGAGTTCATTACACAATACTACTTATACAGTATTATACAATAATACTGTTCCAACTTACATACAAATTCAACTTAAAGACAGTATTGTGTGTCATTGTAATTTTGGTAAAATGACTTTTTCATCTTGTAATTTCAATAAGCTTCTTGATACATATCATGCTGTTTTACATAAATAATAATGCTAATTCAGTAATAATAATTCAGACTTCAACCAATCTGGATAAAGTCCCCATAGCTTAAATATTCAATATGCCACAATTATATGCATTGCTTCTCTCACGTAGTTAGATGAGGCATGTTTCCAGGTAAGTAGGTGGGACCTATTTAAACAAAGTTTAAGAACTAACTATTAGATTTTATTTCTATATATTCCAAAATAAAATGCTGAAGAATATCCTTTTTTTTTTACAGATTCAACACTACTGATGAGTGGAATCAGCACTGTAACAGCCTGTTTCTTTATCATTACATTTCACACTAATTATAAGAGGATCTGTGCAGAAACATCTCAAAGCTGTTCCACCAACAAAACAGAAGATGAAGATATTGCAGTAACAGCATGAGATGAAGTATTTCCAAATGAACTCTGGACTAACCATGTGCCTAAAAGTCAGCTGACACATCAGACACCTCAAGTGCCATAAATTCAGTAAATTATAACTTTGTGATAATTGACTGTAAAACATTGCTTCTTTTTATTCCTTCTGATAGTTGACTGTGTGAGTGGCATGGAGGCAGTTAAAACAGCCCCATCTTCCTGCAAAAGGAAGGTATCACCAAGGTCAAGGAAACATCAAGCTTTCTGAAATATATATACACAAAAAAAGGAAGGCAGGAAGGAAGGGAGGGAGAGAGGGAGGAAGGGAGGGGAGGGAGATGAAAGGAAAGGAAAATCTCCCAAAACATGGTCAAGACAAATATGCTAAGCTGTCACATTGTCTTGACTAATGGAGGACAAACAGACAATATTGGGGTCAGAGGGAGAAAAGGAAGAGAGATATTCATAGGGAAAGACATGGTGACTGACTGACAAATTGAACTTGCACCATTCTAATAGACAGTTTCATTCCCCTCCCTTGCCATAATTGGAGACATTTTTCAGAATTAGAAACCAGGATTTCTAATTAAATAGAACTTAATCTTGGCAATGACGCTAAATTGCAACATAGTGATGGGCAATCACTCCTCTTCCTAGAAAGCTGCACAGAGATTGGGATTCACCCATGACAGTATGTCACAATGCGGTTTGTTTGGTTTTAACTTAATGTGTCATATGACCCCAGCTTTGCAGTTTGTAAACCAAAGTTTATGGATTAGTGTGATATATGAACCTAGCTAATTGCTGCAAAGAAACCAGATGCGTGAAGCAAGTCAGAATATTCAAGTCTTTCAGCATGCCTCCCTGTGTCCAGGACAATTATGACTATTCAATGGGAGGATCCATGCACAGCTGATAATAGTGCCATGAAGGGCAGGATTTGGATGTGAGGATTGGCATGCATTACTTGAGAAATACCATCCCAACCATGGAAGTAGTAAACTTAAGGAAACTTCACAGATTGCAGTAGTAGTACAAAAACATGACAGGGAACCATCAACATACCAAAGGAGGCCACGTTTCCTTAGTAGCTATGGAGCATTAATTGACAGGGATGGGGGAAGGGAACAAAGTGGAAGAGCTCCTGAACAAGTAGCTCTCTGCCCTGCATCATTTGTTATAGATCTTACTTTAAGTGTTTTGAATTATAGATGGAATGGGGTTTAGGAGTTCTGATTGTTTTAATTATACAGAAAGTAGAGAATGGGTGAGGCCAATATGTAATATCCTCTATGAACAATCTTACAGATAAACTCAAACAATACTATAATGCTTGAGAGTAGTGTTTGCACTTATTTGCTCATGCATATCTAGGTTAGTTATTTGTGGCCAACTAGATGAAAGATTGCTTACAAGTGTTCTTGCAGCAAAAAAACAAAAACAAAAAACACACAATGGACAACTGTAGCTAGGGTACAACAGAAATTTAACTGTTATATTTGTAACAGAAAATTCTAGTCATATCCAGTAATCACAATGTACTTGATACAGAATATTTTAAATCGGTGCAAAATATACAATCAAAATGCAACCAAACATAAATACATAGCAAATATATATATACACAGATCTCTTAAGGTTATAACCTCAAGACAAACATATTTAAATATCCAAACGAAAAAAGCATACCATATAAATAATGTTTACAGTCATTGCATTTCAGGACTGCTACTTCAAAGACAAGAAAAGGAGTTTGCAAGGCAGATTAAGCAGAAAGCTAGACACACAACAAACTAATATAGAAGAAACAAGTAAACAAGTTGATGTGCACTGCTAGCTTCTGTTTAAGCGCACAATGGGGACACTCTCTTAATTATTAGAATTGTACTATTATTCTGGAGCAAGTTGTTAAGCACACATACTGCAAAAAGAAAGAAAGCACGGCACCAAAGGCAAACTACTCCAGATGGCCAGATGTGACTTGTACGTTAGAAGTAGGCCTTTGCCACAAAATCGTGCTCAGCTTATTAATTCAATACATGCAATGCATTATTACCTCCATAGTTTTCAAAGGCAGGCTCCCTCTGGGCCATCTTTTTGGCAGTGAACACACAAATGCTTCACACTGCCTCCCTGTGAGATCAGGGGATTGGGTCACTAACCTGATGCTAGTGTCAGAAAAGGCCTATCACAACCTCTCTTCTAAACCAAGACAGCTCAAGGCAGCAGGATGGAGAAAAAGCTTCTGCAGGAAGATTCAAGCTGCCCAGCAATTTTAATGGGTGCCAAGTCCAATCAGCACTGTTAGGAGAACGTGCATTCAACTGACTGCCGCAAAACTTCTCTGAATTTTCTTCCCTCTCATTTTGAATGAGGAAAGCACACTCCACATGAGAATCAGCGTGACAACCACAGGGGCACACACACACAGAGAAGAAGTTTTATGTTCCAGTTAAAGTCAAGAATAGCACAGCAGCGAACAGTTGTGAATAGGGTATATTCAGATGTAATACCTGTGACCTAATTCTTCTCTTCTCCAAATGGTAAACACATCCCCTGAACTAGTTTACCAGTTGTCTTCCTTTCTAAACTGGCTTACCAGCCATTTCTTTTCAAAGCCAGGAAACCAGCCTTGCACATGGAGGGGTTTAGGGAATTTCTCCAGGAGAAAATTGTCAGCTTGTTCGTTCTGAAGAGTCTTTGAGTCAAGATAGTTAAACAGCTGTACAGAATATGTAACTGAATCTTCGGGCAATATGGACAGTAGAGGTTTACTTAGTTACCAATACAGCAAAGTGATTTTTTTAAGCTCAATCATCGCAAACAAGAAAAGCACGGAATTATGCAAAAGCAAAGCCATGGAAAAGAGGCTGTCAGTGTCATGTTGCCTGTTTGATCACAAAATACAATCTTTCTGTGTGATTAAACCATCAGAGCCTGCCACATTTATCTCATACAGTTTTCCTAATTTTCTTGGAAACAGTATCTTTGATCAAAGATTCAGAAAGGTAAATGCTTGAGGTGTTTTTCTAAGACATCAGTGTAAGATGGTCCTTTGTTCTGAAATCCTTTGCAGAGACCACTAGCAGTATATGAAACACAAACCCTAACAGGCTTATAGTCTCTTTATTTGGTCATTGACCAGCAAAACAGAGCTCTGAAAATAGGACCAAAGCTGTCCTGTTGAAATAATAACGTAAACCATCTACAATAAAATTAACTAAATTTCTAATCACTATTAACAGGCTTATATTACATGGTTTGTTCCATTCAAGATGTATATTTTGTGATGAAAGAGTCAAAAGTGACATTGATAGACTTTTTTCTTATCTGTAGCAAATATAATTTTTCTTTCATCTTTCTTTATATTTTTATTTATTTATTTATATTTATTTAGAAGCCAACATGTTTTTAGAGACCCTTTATGTTAGTTACAAAATAGTGAACAGCATTATTTTTGTTTTGGTACACAGCAAGTTAGGATTCTCATTAATTTCTTGCAAATATTTATTTAAACTTGCCAGTTCAGTATATAAGAATTTACACAACTGAGGCACGTGCATCATGCTTGTTCCTTATTCCTACAGGCAAGACCAGGCCAGCTTTTGAAACGAATGCATATATCGCAGGAAGATAAATTAAGAAAAGTGAGCATTTTTCCAAACAGAACAGTCACTAATTTTATTTTCTAAAAACGTATTTGAATTTTATGTAGGGCCCATATGATGTTTGAAGATGATGCTTTGCAGCATGCTAACTTCTAGTTATGTGCAAAACAGAACAGTTCATCCACAGAATGTCTGCCTCCCGAAAGGACCAATCAGATAAACCACTTCCTGGGCTTGATAACATACTTCCAGAATGACATAAACTAGTGGTACCTTAAATCAGCCATATACTGGAGACAAACTGCTGTTTTGCACCCCTAATGGCTTTGCATTAAAAAAAAACAATGTACAGGAGAAAAAAATCAGACGGGGCAAAGAGCCTCAGGTTCCCAAAGAAGGTATCAGTCAATATAAGGTGACAAACGTCTCTGAAAACTTGCTTCTCTACCACAACTGATCACTGTGCAATGCTTGTAAGATATCTCCTTGGATGTATTCTCATGTCAGCCATACTAGGTGGACTAGACCATGAAATCAACTCCATAGGGAGGCTAAAACTACCTTTTAAATTGGAGATTGGCTATAATAATAACAACAGAATCTTGCAAGTCTGATGGTGCTGTACCTCCCATTCCTTCTTATAGTTGAGTGAACTAGGAAGGTGTCTGTCTTCTGAATCTTATCCGGATGTTCTGGACTTAAAAAATGCTTTAGCCCTTTTGCCTAGGCATCTCCATCAAGGTCATCTTCCTTACTCTCTACTTCTCTATTCATGCAGAGAAACCCAGAGCCTCAACAGGCCTCATTTAGCCAGAATCACTAAGAGGATGGTTCATAATAAAATGTATATATAGATAGAAATTCAAAGCTAAGCAGCCATTTATATCTGTAGAAACATGCAAAAAACAACATGCACTTAAAACATCCATTCCACAAAATATTTTCCTTCTTGAAAAAAGACCAGTTTTATACCTACCAAATTCTACTTCTCTGCTTAAAATAGTGAAAGACTTGTGTATTGGTCAGAGTGTAAATGCTCAGTGGATGCACAATGTTTACACCACCAATGTACATCAAACAGGGTTTCCAACCATCTTCACATATAGAGGGTTTAAGCATATATGTCTGCTCTGTGCAGCTGCATATACTTGGGTGTTACAGATTTCCTGCATGGAAGCAATATTTGTGTAGGAAATTCGGCATATACTAGAGTTGCAGGCTGAAATGTTGCCTGAAATAAAAATATTGTAGACATACCTTTTACAAGTCTAGCAGTAGAATCCCCAAAAATAGACTCTTGGTTTTTAAATCCGATTATTGATGAATATTTAACTTAACATCTCCATCAAAATTTCTGTAACGGCATATAAAACTCTCCTTATAAATTATCTTCAGAAAATATAAACCTTCTAGTTAGAAATATTTATTCAATATCTAAGTCAATACAAATGCGGCAGATTCTGAGTCTTCAGGCGAAATGCTACACTTACAATTTTGAAAAGCGTCCTTAAGAGGCCAACCAAAAAATAGAATTCTGCTATCAAATGCAGAAAGCAACAAAAGCAGTGCATTAAAATGGAAGTTTACAATCAACAGTCATAACCCTGTAAATATCAAAGCTGCTTGCCAAGTGACATTAAGTTGGGCTTTCATGTTCAATGAAAAGAAGGGATTTCCATCTAATGCTAAACTACAGACAGCCAATTGCAAAAAAATGCAGTAGTTATTCCAGTCTAAAAAAGGTCACAACCTAACCAAGCCAAGTTACTGAAAGTCAAGCTGATGTTGTCCCACTTAGGCTATGGGGTTTATTTCCCACGCTCCAAAATCATCTCCCAAAGTTCACGATCATTTGTGGTGGGCAACAACTGCAGAGGCCCGTTTCTTTTCTCCATTGAAGCAAATGATAGCTGAGTAGGCCATTTCAACTGAGAAAACAATCTAGGAAAAGAAAAGCCCCACTTAGCAGCACTCAGATCTACAACTGCCTCAAAGTCATAAACTGTCAAGTGAACTCTTCAAAGATCACCAGCCTAATGTGGCTGACCTATTAAAAGAGCATTATTGTCACAATAATCTATTCCCATGGAACTGAATGGCACTAAACATACACACGTGATCCAGAAATGGTAAAACTTAGCCTTCCCCAACCTGCTATCCACCCGATGTCTTGAACTTCAGTTTCCATCAACCCCAATAAGCATGGCTGTCCAGCACATTGAATGGGTGTCAACTTGGAGATGGCTGATGTAAATCTATTCAATTCAGTGGGAACAGCCAGTATTCCTATCCTTAGACTTCATCCACAGTAAGATCCATAAACTGAACATCAATGTTTATAGCACCAAGACAGAGCGTTCACCTGCCAGAACTGTATAACTGGAATGCAGAGACTGTTATTTCAGGCAGAGACACAATGGATTTTGAGTGCATAGGCCCAACACAAATGTTAATGGCTAGTATAATTCTTATTTCTCATATTGCACTAAAAGCTAGTAACGGCTCATGACTTTAAACAGTAATTTTTATTGAAACTTACAGGGAAATTTCAATTTATTTATTAATATTTTACAGAAGTACTTGTTACTCCTGAGTCTGTTTAGCAGCGGGAAGGGGGATTAAATAGGCATTAACAAATATACTAGAATTACCAAGCAGACAATCCAGCTATGTGCTGAAGACTGGATCTCAACCCTAAAATACACATTGTTTTCATCTAGGACTTTAAATGCCAGACAAGAGTTTTTCAATATTCTAATCAAAATATGACAAAGCTTCTCTTATATTTACATGTGCAAAATGAAGGAAGCATGTAAACAAGAGATATCAATATTTTTATTACATTAATAGGTAGAGTGTGAAATTAATTCTCAAGCTGATTTCAGAGAAACCTGTGTCAAGACAGATTTCCACATTAACATTTTTGTCAATGTGATCTGGGCTTATACAGAGATTTGTGTATTTTTACTTGTGAAAAGGTTGTCCAATCGGCACACTAAACAGCCTGCCCATGCAGTGGCTTCTTAAGTATATAATAGTAAACATACACAAACACTTGTTCACTCTTATTAAAAATTATTCATGCTTCCTTAAAAAAATCTGGAGCAATGCACTGTATTGCTTTCGAAAATATGAGCTCTGACCGTCCCCTTTTTTTAGCAAGGAGTCTAGATGCTTAGCCTAGATACTATACTAACTTCATGCAAAGCATGACCAGAAAATCAGGAGCACGTGCTTCCTTTTTCAGAACAACCTACACTTCCTTTGCTTTCCTGGATTTTTCTATGGTTGAACATAACACAGGCACCAGTAGTTACCTTGTAAACCAGAGGCTGAAATCAGATAGCAAACTATAGTTATAATTTGCATTAACTCATCTTCTGCTCTGGCATACTAATGATGCAAAACCATAGTTAGTGCTCCATGGAGGGAAAAAAGGCAAGTTTTTTCCTAACTCAACATTTGCAAAGAGTCAGTGACATTTGTATTAGGCTATAACAGTCTGAGGCCAACTCACGTAAATGTGGTTATGATGATAGCTTATATCTACTAAGAAAAACTAATCCTCGCCACAAATCACATCATCCTACCTGGATGTTTCATGGGTTTCAAGAGGAACCGGCAGGAAAGGCACTCCATTTCTATGCTGATCTTAAAGGACACGTCAAGGCACACCACACAGAGGGAAGCTTTTCATAGTGCAAAGAAACTTACTCTCTTTAATGCCCAAGTATATCAATGCAGCACTTCAAAATCAATCAATCAATCAATCAATCAATCAATCAATCAATCAAAAATAGCACACTGTTCAAGGACACAAGCATGACAACATAAAGCCAGGGCAGCAGCTTTAGACAGTAAGGCCAGCAGGGGACATGGAGTGACATGGTATTGTCACTGGAGGGAGCAGGGCCAGTATTCATGCGCTTTTCTACTTTAGCATTTGGAAATGGGAGTTATAAGAAAATGGAGTGCAGTAGAACTTCTGGAAGTTTAGGACACCTATTTCACTCCACAATTCCACTAAACATTCTGAAAAATTGTGCTTCTGAAGCTTGGCATGCAATCTAGGAGGACTCCAGAACTACAAAAAGAGGACAGTTTAGCACAGGCATAAAAGGCACACAAGACATGCTATGTAGTTTATTTTTAGCATCCCTGCTATTATCAGCAATTGAGTAGTGAAAATGTTTCACAATATTAAGCAATACCTATCCAAAATAACTTTTGTCTAATAATCTGAACGTGTTTCATTGCTGAAAATGTTAAAATATTGCCTATGTCTTATGCATAGAAACTCAAACACTAAAAAAATGTTGCTGCGTTTTATCAAAAAGATATTTTTTTTGGAAAAGCTAGATGTGATTTTTTAAAAAATGGGGTGGAAGGTTTTAATAATGTAATACAAGATACAGAAGCCTGATAATATCTAAGACATTAAACACATGAGAAAAAGAGCTAAGAACGGACTAGAAGCAAAATCCCATGCTGTGCTTTTTGTGTCAATGAATAATATTGAAAGACAGCATATTTCAGACCCTGAAAACATGTCTTCAAGGACATAGGAAAATGCGTCTTTGTCATTATTACTTTTGTACATTTACTCAGAAAAAGTAGTGCAATCAAAACTATGTGCATGTTTCATGCAGACAAAAACCTAAAGCTAAGTCCTATTTTAGTTCAGTTAAAGTGTGAAGAACATTCTTAAATCTGCCATGAAAACTAATGTAGCATAAAATGGGTTATGTTTAAAGGAAATATGTGGAGGGCAGCTATGAGATACTGGGGAAAAAATGTGGAAATATTAAGGAACTGCAGAAGGTGCTACAATCTCACCCCAACACACTCTGAAAAATCTTTCTGGAATCAAACGTTGCACAACCTTAGAACATATTTAGACTGATTCACAGATTGTGCTAAGCTGTGATTTATTTAACCATGATTTGTTCAATAAACATGCTCTATCATAAACCATGATTTACAACCAACAATGGCCAGATTCACATGGCACATTACATTAAAACCAAGCAAGCAGCAGTTTTGGTTTAATGCAATGCGCACATCCAATTGTGATCATCTTCAGTTAAGGTAGACTTTTCAAGTAGCTTGCCATGCAAGTTTTCTATTAAAGAAACAAAGTCACATGACTTGGGATTCACAAAACTAGCTACATCAGTACTCCTTAGGTTGAATCCAATTGTGTCATTCTACTGATTAGTGAAAGAGATTCTTCCCCTCTCCCTGCACACACACACCTCCCCCAAATCTGTTCCAGAGTGTTGTGGTTCCTCTTGAGCAGATTTTGGTTACTTGGGAAAAGTGTGTGGGTTTGTGTGTGTATGAAGGAAAGGCTTGTACAAGTCAGCATCCACTGAAACTTAAAATTCAAAGAAAATTGTTTATGAATATTAATATATATAGAGAGTGTATACTTTAGAGGAGGGCTCATAAATAATCATTTATTGAAGTGAAGATGAGAGCCAGTCTGGTGCAGAGATTAAAGGCACCAGGCTAGAAACCAGGAGACTGTGAGTTCTAGTCCCGTCCTAGGCACAAAGCCAGCTGGGGGACCTTGGGCCAGGCACTCCCTCTCAGCCCTGGGAAGCAGGCAAGGGCAAACCGCTTCTGAAAATGTTGCCAGGATATAACACCAGAGAAACTATCTAAGATGTATCAATAATAAATAAGGTACATCTGGTCAATGCTGGAAATGTAAAAAACATGAAGGGACATTTTACCATGCATGGTGGACTTGCGAAAAAGCAAACAAACAAACTGGATACAAGCACATATGATGATACAAAGGATTTTAAATCCTTTGGAATTTAAACAATTTGTTTGTTTAAGCAAACAAACAAACTGGATACAAGCACATATGATGATACAAAGGATTTTAAATCCTTTTCCAATTGGAAAAGACTTACGGAAAACTGATTTTACGAATGGTAACTGCAGCATGATTACTATATGCACAACAATGGAGAACACTGAAATACCCACAATGGAGGAATGGATCGTGAGAGTGGCAGAATAAGTAGAAATAGCAAAACTGACCTGCCTGTTCAGGGATAAAACAAGAGGTACTTTTATAAAAGACTGGAAACCTTTTATGGATTTTTTTGCTGAAAATGGAAGAAAAGTGAAATGGTGATTTCTGGATGATTGAAAAAAAATGTTGAATATGGGATAGAAGGGATCTTTGTAATGTAATATTAAAGAAAGAGGAGGGATAATAAGTTTGTAGCTGCTGCAAAGAAGATTGGAAGTCGCTTCTTTAATTATCTTTTTCTTTTTCTAACTGTATTACATTTTGCAAAAAAAATTTCAATAAAAATGATAAAACTGCAGGGATTTGTCCAGGCCGTTGCCAGGAATCAAAACCAACTTGAAGGCGCCAGACACACACACAAGAGAGACAAAGATGACGGAGGAAGAGATGTAAGATTACCTTGTGCTTATGTAGTTAAATTTGACTTTCATTCCCAGATACAAAGCTTATCCGGTCCCCAAAGTCCAATTCTGCATGTTGGTCTCCTCCTCACAGCCTTGGCTGATTTAGGGTTTAAGGGTTCTTGCATTATCTTCCAGCATCTTCTACTTACCCATGTCAAAAGTAAACTGAAGAGTTCTTTTCAGTTTGGTTTGTTGGTGAGTGGCAGAGAGAAGTCACTGGCAGATGACATCAGAACTCTTAAACTTTCCTTAATAAGCCAAGAGCAACCATGGATGAAGTGGATATGGCCATGGGAAAGAATCATCATGTATGGCAGGGCACGTTTTGAACAAACCATGGTAAGCATGTCATCAGAACATGGTCACAGTCTCTCCCCCCCCACTCAAGTAACCCGCACACCCAAACAACTTTTTGCCATTCTGTGGATTATGGGCAAGTTCTAAGATTTGATAAAAGAAAAGCACACACATGATTCTGATAAAATTCATAAAAAACTTCTCAACCTCCAAAATAAAGCATATTTAGTTCCAAAGGATTGCTTCACAAACATTTTAAACAAATATTCTCATTTCTGTACAGCACTTTGTAGCCAAACTTCTAAGAAACCGAAAAGTCCAGTATCAAGTCACGTGTTAGAAAACAAAAGAAAGCAATCGATAGTATTATAAGAACACCTTTTACAAAATATTCACCATTCTCCAATGCTACACGGGGTGGTACGGAGATAGAAATACTGTAAACTGCGACATGCTCTCACTGTTTGGAAGACTGGTGCCTGAAGACTTCTAGCTAAAGAACACTAGTGAATTTCACGCCACATCACTTTTCTTTGCAATTCTCTGCAAATGCAGATATACAAGGGATGCAAGACACACCACAGTGTTGAAATGGATCCACAGTTGATAGAAGTGAGGATGGACCAGTATTATCTACAAGAACACACTATGTGAATCCACTTCGGATGTTCCTGTCCTCCTAGGAAAACACAGCAGGAATATTTGCAGCAGCAAAACAATAATGCTTTTGAAAGTGCGTCTGTTCTAAACTAAAGCAAATCCTGCAGATCCTCTGAGCTGCAAGTTTACTGGACATCTACTAGAAAGTGACTACAATATTAGTGAGATGTACCTCGATTTTGCCAAACATGCCATAATTAATGACGGGTGGGGGGGTGGGAGGGCTGGAATGGGGAAAACGATACCTACATCCATTTCTAATTTTCTTTTGATGCTATGTATAAAATGTAAGTCATCCATTTTTAAAGAGACTATCACCAGGCTTTATCCATTCTCATTCATTACATGTGGAAAGGATATTATAACAGACACAGTTTCTGCAATCACATGATTTCTTGGGTACCGATGTAAAGACTCATATCATGTTATTTCCAGATACAGAAAGTCAAGCCCTGCCTATGTCCTGGTCACACATCATGATTCTGACTAGGTTCATGGCTACTGCTGCTGTTTTGGCATTCAGGGTTAATTACCATAGTGTGGTCCAAGTCCAACAGGTTAGACACTGAGAAACAGGATTCCCCCCCCCTTTTTATTTCCCTTTTCCTACCCCACACGAAACACAAAACAGTATTAAATTTAACCCAACGCTATTAAATTTGGATATAATGATAGAGAAGCGGTGGGGAACTCTCTACCCTCTAGATGTTGCTAAACAACTCTAGGCAATATGCCCATGATGACGGACATTAGAAGTCCTAGTTCAGCAATATTTAGAGAGCCACACATTTGCCATCACTTAATCATCTGAGTCTTGGGCTTACGTAAAACGCTTTTTGCTTTGGTATGGTCATAAAGAGGTCAGAGGTTTACACCAGAGTTTTTTGATTAATTGAAATTTAGAAGTAACTGTAATTTAGAACTGCATTCAAACCCTCATGTGGTCAACCACAGCTTATCTAGATTTTGAAGAAATGGCAAGTTGCAGTTCATAAAAAATGAACCTCATTCCAGAAATATCAAGGCAAAAAAAGGGTAGTGGAACCAAAGCCCCAAATTATCTTCTGTTAGCCTCTGAACACAGTCTCTACTCATGGGGGTGGGGGAGAATATGGTCAGTTGATGGAAAAAAACTATGAATGATCCTTATAGAGGAGAAAAACACTAAGAAGCGATAATTGTGAAAAGAAGCAAAAAATGTCTATGCACTGAGAGATAATCAATCTCTTAATCACAAGGAACTCTGGCACCATTTAGACATTTGGCACCATCAGTATAATCATCAGACTCAGAGAACAAAATCTATATATCTGCTTAAAAAAACATTAAAGTATTTTAAACTGAGAATAAACCAATGTATATTTCATTTTCTGTATTATCATTTAATATTTATCAAATGAAGGTTGAAATAGATTAATTTACTATATTGTGCCTCATACCCATTCTGAGTTTGATATTTCAGCAACAGTCTGAATGCTAACAGAGAATTTTAGGGAATGAAATTAGAAACACTGACTTACAGACCAGAATTAGAGAAAAGAAAAACACATGCAGTATATTAGAAAACCAGAAGCTTGTAGGTTTTATAAAAAAAACCCCTGTAAACTATGAAAAAGACAAAATAATAGGAGATGTCTTTTCTTTCAAAAAGTTTTTTGTGGTAGTGTAGTGAAAGTGTTTGTGGTGCACAGATGAAACCTCAAAACAGAAGCACAGCTAGCCATTTTGGGAAGGGTCTTCCCTCCCCCTGCATTCTGCTGAATGTTTTCTTTGCCAGTTCTTCATTGAGAGCCCTGCTGTGTGTTCAACAATTACTGATCAAAAAAGTATGAGTAACCTGTGCATTGCAGAGCTGAAGAGGAGCAGGCAATGGGATCCCTTTCGGGGCGGACCAGAAAAATGCTGCAATGAAGCTGGCCCAGTGAAGCAGAGTCTGGATTGCGCTCCTGGATTAAATCATCACAAGTCTATCCTACTTCAAGAATTAGTGCACAAATGATCAGTAACATTACATTATTGGTTCTTTTTGATTTTCACCCAAGTTACTTATTTTCCTCTGGAGTCTGCTGGACTAGCTTAAATCCTCCAGTAGAGTTTGAAAAGGGAAAAAATCTACATTTCTAAAGGGTTCCCTAATGCAAACTTCTCTGATCAACTTGTGGTGTATAATCATATTTTATGTCAGCTACATGGTTACTGAAAAATGTACATGGAATAAGAGGACGGACTCATAAACAACCTGAACTATGCAACAGTATTTTGTCAGACAGGTGTCATCTACAGTAGATGTGCAGCATTTGGACTATGAATATCTTCCATCAGCGCTGTACTTCTTCAGCCAATGTGCTCTCAGTCCTTGAATCCTTTATGTTTCCAGTTTTTTTCTGTTTCTGCTTTGATTTCTTTAACATATGAACCTGTAATCAAAATTTACATATATAAAAAAATCTGACAATTGTACAGTAAAAAAATGTTAAAAAGAGGGAAGAACTAGATTGTGTTCCTAAGCATGGCTTAACATACATCAGCCTTCCCCAATTGGCATCCCCTTCCCCAATGAGTGGAACTATAATTATCAGGCGCATACTGGCTGGGGATCCTGAAAGTTCCTGTCCCAGCTACGTGGAAAGAACCAGACTGAGGAAGAAACGGATGTATACTAAATCTTTAACACATGCTGAATTATACCAATATACAGTGGTACCTCGGGTCACGAACGCTTCTGTTCACGACCAATTTGGGTCATGAACAGCACCGTTCGCAAAATTTTGCTTTTGTCCGCAAACTCCACATCGGGTGACAAACAGGATCCGCGGCCATTTTCCCTGCCGTGACACGTGGTCGTGGCTTCCTGTACGGAGGGGGACTCTCCCTCCAAGCAAAAACCGCCTCCCCACCCGCCTTCCTGTCCTCCACGCCAGAAGTCGCCTCAAGCAAGGTTAGCGTTCTCTCTCGTCGTACTGCACT